AGCAGGATGGTGGAGGCGCAGGATGAGGGGTAGAAAGAGTCCTTCAGAGGGTAATTAGCAGGCATCAAGCAAGTTCCTTGTCCTTGTAGATCCCTGAAGGTAAGTTTCAGGTTACGACCCCACTGGCAGAGACCCTCCGCAGCGTCCATGGAGATGTTCCTTATGTCCTGTGGGGTATCTCCAAGAGAGATGTTAACAGCAATTCCTGAATAATAAGGGGGTTCAGGGTTGAGACATACCAACAGTCATCCATGAGGTTGGGGGAGGATTTGTTTAGGAACCTGAACATGGCTTCTAAAGTTCTTAATACAGTACTTTCGTGGGGAAGTAGAGAGGTGTGTCCAGTGGGCCAGGCTTCAATTTATTTGCTACTCTAGGGGAAGAGTTCAATGGGGGATGATAAGTAGGAGTTGTTGGCCCCAGAATGGGTCTCAGGGGGCCTATAGGATTTCCCTGATGTGGCAAGAATTTTCTTTGTATAGTAAAGAGAATCCCAGGGTCCTTTCCAGAAACGTATAGTCTGAGGCCCCATGTCTTCCCTCCTATCCAATAACTTGTGCTCCAGGTGATGATTTCGAGCTTCACTGGGTTGCAGTTACCTACGCGGCAAGTCCCAGCCTGGTCTGAAGGCCCTGGGCGTATCTCTCTGGTGAATCTGATATCCCCATGCAGCGCAATAATAACTATCTTTACCCCTGCACTCACTAGGACCTTTCCGAGGGCAGATGTAATGTTGACTTTGCCATAGTCCTTTTTCTAGGCTACTATCCCCGCAGCCGTAGCCTTCAACTACTGCCCCTCCTCCTCCCCGGTATCCAAATCCTAGAGAGTCCTCCTTCCTTGATCTTCCCCAATCTTCTCCAAACATTTTACATAGGTCAAAATGAAGGATAGGGTACCCGGCTGTTGTAGTATTTGCTATTACAGATCCATCTAGAGTTCGAGTAACTTCCCAGAGATAGAGGGTAGGCCGGGAGGGGGTAGAGGAACTTGCCCCTGTAGTGCTCAAGATGAGGACGACTAGGATCGGGAAAATTTGACCTTTTGAGGATCGGACGTGGGTTGAATTCTCCATTCTCCCTTCTGGTCACCCTCTGCCTTTTTCAGTCGGGTGTGGTGGATCCAATGTTGCTTCCCTGCAATTTTTACCGCTGAGGACAACCGTGAATGGGCCATCCCACCGAGGCTCAAGCAGACCGGGGTTGAACTTCTTAACTCAGACCAGCTCCCCAGGTTCGACGACTGGGCTTCTGAATATTTGGCCTCTCTCAGTCTCCTCTCCTCGGACTGTCTTCTGGATTGCTCTCCGAGTAAGCTGGAGTGCCTGTAATGACTTAAGAAGATTTTCGTTGTGGATGGCTCCGAGATGTTCCTCCCCCAGCTGGGGAAGGATGGGGGGTGGCCTTCCAAAAATGATCTCATAAGGGGTAAAACCCTGTGAATAAGGGGTACATCTGGCCCGAAAGAGGGCGAAATGGAAAAGACTTACCCAATCACCGCCAGTTTCGAGTCTCAGTTTTGTTAAAAACTCCTTGAGTGTTTGATTCATCCTTTCTACCTGTCCTGAACTCTGAGGTCTGTATATGCAATGAAGTTTCCAGTTAAGTTTTAGAGAGGATGCCAATTGTTTGGTGACCTGGGCAGTGAATGCTGGACCATTGTCAGACCCCAGATATAGTGGTAGGCCAAACCGAGGTAGAATTTTGGAGACTAATTGTTTAACCACTACCTGCGCTGTCTCTTTTCTGGTAGCAAATGCCTCTGACCAACCTGAGAAGGTGTCCACTAATACAAGGAGGTACTTTTAGCCTCCTCTTACCACAGGTAGTTCTGTAAAGTCCAGCTCCCAGTGCTCTCCCGGGGTGCTTACCCTGAACCGAACTCCAGGTTCCCTAACTTGAATAAGGTTAGGATTCACCCTGGCACACGTTTGGCATCTTTGTGCAATGTCCTGAGTGAGTTTATACAGTCCTTTTAGAAAATAGCTCTTCCGGAGGAGCTCGGCCAGTTTAGTTCCCCCTAGGTGGGTGTTCTGATGTGTTTGCTCAACTATTTTCCTTCCCAAGGCCTGGGGAAGGAAGATCCTCCCATCGGGCAGGAGGACCCATCCTCCTTTGTTCTTTGTCCCTTGGAGCTTCTGACCTAGTTCCTCCTCCTCTTAGGTGTAATGAGGGCTCGGAGGAATGGCATCCTTCTGGAGGATCAGGACTTCCCGGGGTCCTACTGGTATTTTGGCAATGTCCCTAGCTGTTTGGTCAGCAAGACGGTTTCCCCTGGATATCTCAGAGTTGTCTTTCTGGTGTCCCCTGCAATGGATGACTGCCACCTCCTTGGGTCCCCAAACTGAGGACAGTAAGTTGAGAATTTCTTGAGAGTTTTTAATGTCCTTCCCACCTGCCATGAGGAGGCCCCTTTCCTTGTATAGGGTTCCATGTACATGAACAGTGGCAAAGGCATACCTACTGTCCGTGTAGATATTGACCCTCTTTCCCTTTCCCCACCGGAGCGCCTGGGTTAGGGCAATCAATTTAGCCTTTTGTGCAGAAGTCCCGTGTGCTAGGGCTTGCACCCAGATGACAGTATCCAGAGTGACTACGGCCGCTCCTGCATATCGGGTGCCCTTTTCCACAAAACTGCTCCCATCGGTAAAGAGGGTCTCATCGGCCTCGGGTAGAGGGATGTCAGTGAGTAGGGACGTGAGTATCTCACCGCAGTCATGGAGTGGGGCATCCTCTCTAGGCTCTGGTAGCAATGTGGCAGGGTTTAAGGCGGCAGTTTGGAGGAAACTTATTCTTAGAGGACCAAGGAGGAGGACTTGATACTGGGTTATTCGAGCATTTGAAAGCCACCTCTCTGGGGGGGCCCATAATAGTTGTTCAGCATTGTGGGGAACAGTAACTTGGAGGTTCTGGCCAAAAGTCAACTTTGATGCCTCCTTTACCAGGGTGGCTGTGGCTGCGATGGCGCATAAGCACCCAGGCCACCCAGCAGCCACAGGGTCCAGTCTTTTAGACAGGTAGGCAACTGGCCGTCTCCAGGGACCTAGTGTCTGGGTTAGCACCCCCTTCGCTACTCCCCACAAACAAGTGAAATGGCTTTTCAAGGTCTGGCAGAACCAAAGCAGGGGCACTCACCAATGCTGTCTTGAGTGCGTTGAATGCTTCTTTTTCTGTTGTAGTCCAGGTGAGGATTGGATTCTTTCCCCCAGTGGCGGTGTACAGTGGCTTAGCAATCTCTGCAAAGCCTAAAATCCACAGTCTGCAGTACCCGACTGCCCCGAGGAACTCCCGTACTTACCTTTTGGTGGTTGTAATGGGGATTTGCAGGATGGCTTGAATTCTACTCTGAGAGAGGGTGCACTCTCCTCGGCGAAGACGGTACCCCAAATATGTAACCTCAGTCTTGCAGAGTTGGGCCTTTTTATCTGAGACTCAGTAGCTGAGGTTCCCTAGAGTTTTTAGTAAGTCCCGGGTGACTTCTTGACACTCCGATAAAGTTGAGGTGGCCAGGAGGAGGTCGTCCACATACTGGAGTAATGTGGCCTCCTGATGCCTGGCTCTAAAGTCCTAGAGATCCTGATTTAGAGCCTCATCGAAGAGAGTGGGAGAGTTCTTGAACCCCTGGGGCAGGCGGGTCCAAGTCAGTTGTCCTGAGTCCCCTTTCTCTGGGTCTACCCACTCAAATGCGAAAATGGGCTGACTCTGGGGTGCTAAAGGGAGGCAGAAGAATGCATACTTTAAGTCCAGCATTGAATAAAATTGTTGGTCTGGTTTAAGGAGACTGAGCAGGTGTAAGAGTTTGGAAGAGTTGGGTGTATGGTCTCCACCCGCTTATTGACTTCCCTTAAGTCCTGGACTGGCCTGAAGTCCTCTGTGCCTGGTTTTTGTACAGGTAGGAGTGGAATGTTTCAGGCCGATTGGCACGGGACTAAAATCCCTGCTTCTTTAAGCCTTCTGATATGTTTTGAGATTCCCATCCTGGCCTTTCCACTGATTTGATACTGGCGGATACGGACTGGCAGAGCAGTGCTCAGGAATTAGACAACTATTGGGAGCCGGTGCCCTGCGAGGCATGGCGGATTGGATTCAGCCCATACCTCTGAGATCTCCTGTTGCCACTGTGCTAGGAGATCAGATTTCATCCCCGGGGAAGGCTTGTCAAGTAACCTGTACTCTTCTTCGAGCGGGAATGTAACAAGGATTTTTCCTTCCCCTGTTTTAACTTGGGGGCCCTCCTCTGTGAAGGAGATAGTGGCCTTTAATTTTTGGAGAAGGTCCCTTCCCAGGAGTGTCTCGGGGCATTTAGGGATGACAAGGAAGGAATGGGTGACCGTTTTCTCTCCTAGGTTGGTGATGCGGGCCTGGGACCAAGGGTAAGATTTCAGTTTCCCAGTTGCCCCCACAATAGCTGTTCTTTGGGGGGACAATGGGACTTTAGGCTCAGTCTAGGAGGACAGAATAGGTGGCCCTGGTATCCACCAAGAAGTCAACAGGCTTGACCCCCACGGTCAGTGTTACCTGGGGCTCCTGGGGGGGGGGGGGGCGGTGGAGGAGCCCTGACATCCTCAGTCTACTTCTTCCACCAAGACTGGACTGGGATCCGACCTCCTTATCCTTTGTCTCTCAGAGCACTCCATCCTCCAATGACCTGTCTTCTTGCAATATGCACACTGATTTCACCCGAGCAATTGTCTCTGACCTTGCCTGTGCCATCTTCCTTTTCCTTTTCCTTGCCCATTTCCCCCTTTTCCTCTGTCCCTCTCTTCTATGGCTATGAGGACCTTGGCCATCTTCTGGGTCAGGGCCTGTAATGGGTCCTCTCGGTTTTCAAAAACCCTCTGGGCTATAGCCAGCAGCTCAGAAAAAGACTTCCCTTCAAAGCCTTCTAGTTTTTGTAATTTTTTCCTAATGTCTGGGGCTGACTGTGCTACAAATTGGACCACAAGGGCTGCCTGATTTTCCGGGGCATCAGGATCTATAGGTGTATACATCCTATAGGCCTCACATAGTTGCTCGAGGAAAGCCGCCAGACTCTCATTTGGCCCTTTTTGGTCTTGGTCACCTTAGAGAGATTGGTAGGCTTTCGAGCGGCAGCCCGAATGCCTCTCAGGAGAACCTGGCAGTAATGGTCAAGAGCCTCCCAGCCTCCCTTCCTAACACTGAATTGGGGTTCCAATTTGGGCGTGCCAAGGGGAAGATGGTGTCAATCTGGGCTGAATCTGTAACCAGCTCCCCATGGCCGTCAAGAATTTGTTTTCTCCCTTCAGTCTTTATTCTCTCTCTCCTCTGTGGTAAACAGGGCGTTTAATAGTTGCTGGCAGTCATCCCAGGTGGGCTGGTGAGCGTAGAATACAGACTCCAGTAAAGTTATCAGCCTCTGGGGATTCTTCAAAAGGGGGGGATTCTGATTCTTCCAATTGTATAAATCAGAGGTGGTGAAAGGAACATAAGTCCTTAGGCGCAGCCCATGGGAGTCTGTTTCCCCCACCTCCCTAAGTGGTAACAGGGCGGCCGGTCGGCTTTCACTAAACTGGGCTCCCGATCGAGTGTGGGGAGGACTGAGGGGGAGATCATTAAGGATGGCCCCTTTTCTATCTCCCTTACCCGAACTGGAAGAGTCAGGTGACACAGGGGGTTCCTTCTTGGGGGCTCCTTCTCGGGGCAGGGAGGGGATACTCCACTTTCATCTGGGATCTCACTAGGGGGTCAGGCCCCTTCCCCTCGCTTGGCGAGGTAGTGGAGGCAGCTGCGGCCACATAAGGGGGTGAGCAAGGGAATGTCAGGCCCAACATCGGGTCTTCCTCAGAAGCCTCTAAAACAGAGGGTGCTGAAGGGGCCTGAATCGGCTTCTCTCAACCCGCCAGTGGCTGGGCGAGTAAGATGGACCTAGGAGGTCTCTTTCCCAATTTTCCTTTATCAGGGAGACAACCACACTTCTTCAGCCATTTGGGGTTATCAAAAAGAACATCAATCCAGATATCAATGTAGGGAATTTGGTCCGGATGCACGGGGCTCCCATAGACTATCCACCGGACTCCTTTACAGGGCCCCATGTCTAGGGTCCCTGATGTAGGCCAATCAACCTCAAATATCAGCCACTCCAATTCACAGAGTCTCTGGAGAGTGAAGGCATCTATGGAAACACCATAGCCTTCACCTCATTTTCTGAAGTCAGAAAAATTTTTAATCATACATTCAAGGGGACTTGGGTGACTCTCCTTCGAGTTTCCTTGCCCCATTTCTCTCTTTCTTCCCAATTTATAAACAGTTAGGCAAAGGATAATTCCAAAGCAAATCCAAAAGAGAAAAAATGAAATCACTTTTATCAACTCCCACACACTCGATTGTGGCCGCAGTCTCTCAACATTCACAACAATACTCATTCACACCAGAACAACACTCACTCAGACCAGAACCAGGGAGTCTCCAGACTCCAAAGCCAGGCAGAACCAGGGAGTCTCCAGACTCCAAAACCAGGCAGAACCAGGAAGTCTCCAGACTCCAAAACCAGGCAAAACCAGGGAGTCTCCAGACTCCAAAACCAGGCCTTGGTGGTTGTCACCACCTCGGTTGTGAACTGGGAGTTTTGCGGTGTCCCGCCTCCCTAAGTTCACGATAACAGGGTACGTACCAAACCAGGACATGAAACTGAAAAAGAAAACAGGCCTGACTTACCGGTGCCGAGCAGGCAGATCCGGGCGTGGTCCGGTGTTCCAGAGGACATGAAATTTCTTAGAGGGGCTCACTGAGAAGTCCCTCAGGTGGAATCTCGCTGGGGCATCCAAATGTTACGGAGCGAGACCACCAAAGCCAATTTGATTAAGCCAGCAAGAATTTATTACAGATTCGAATCCAGGCTCAAACCGTGGCTGACGCAGCAGCAGGCAAACACTCAGGTAAGAGCCCCGATGGAGGGGCAGTCCCTCCTCTTATACGTCCCTTCCCATTCCACTGCTGGTTTGTCACTCCCTGATTGGCCCCTCAGGACAAAGAACTGGCTTTATCTTTTGGGCCGGCTAGGCCGACTGTCACAGTCACACTCAGAGACTTTGGAGTCACACTTAATTTACGAAGGTGGGCTTAGAGAAAATGAATTCAAATTCTAAGCAAGGCTACAAGCAGAACTTATCTTCTTATTATTCAAAGAGCCAGCCCAGTGTGTGCTTAGTGTTTATCTTGATGCTGTCCTTGAAAACAATTAAAAAATGTACCTGGCCTGCCCTTGAGAGTATGGGTGTATCTAGTCTCTGGTCTACAAGGTTAGACAGCTAAGTTGATCTTCTTCATTATTCAATCAGGCTAAAGCAGGCTAGAAAGCAAAATTATTTTTTTAGAGTAAGAGGGCATCTGAAAAAAAGCAGAGAATTCAAAACAGTAGTTTTAAGAAATAGGTTTCAGCCTTCTCAATCAGTCTCCCTGCCCTTCTGTCACTGAATTTTGTCAGATTCACTACAGAGCCTCTGTTTTTATTCACAAACACAATAGCTAAAGCTAGACATAGACAAGGGCTTTCTGTGAGCTCTGTGACTGAGCCTGGGAGCAAAGTTAAATTAAGGCAGAGCAGGAAATTTTGTCTTGGGTTAGGCCTCCACCTGTTCCTGTCTGGGACCTTTTCTGGTTCCCAGCACACCGTGGTACACTGGATGGTCCCTGAAGCCCAGCCCTTCGGCCTCCCTCAGGGAGGTTTGTATCTGGGCTCACACTGACTTCTCCTCACTGTGTGTCTGGCACAGTAATATACAGCCATGTCCTCATCTTTCAGGCTGTTCATTTGCAGATACAACGTGTTGTTGGCATTGTCTCTGGAGATGGTGAAGCAGGCCTTCACAGCACTGGCATAGTTTGTGGTACTTCCTGTTGGGAGCCAGCAGAGTTGAGGCAAGCAACTCAGTCTTAAGGAAATAGAATTAAGTTCCTTCTAGCAGAAGTTATGCGGTGCCCTGAGGGCTTGGCCAAAAGAAAAGATTAACATGGGGCTTAGCATCTTCCTGTCTTCCTGCCTCTTCCCCTTCCTGATCCTCCCCCCTAGATAGCCCAGCCATGGAATGTTGCACCTTGGAATGTCACACCACCCCTGGCAATTAGCCAATCCTGTGTTGCCAGATACCAAAGACCCCCCCTGCATAGGCAACCATGCCCCCCTTTGTTTCTGCTGTATAAATACAGCCATTTCAGAGAATAAAAGTTCGAGGCTTGATCAGAACCTTGTCTTGCCTCCATTCTTCCGCGTTCCTTGTTTGTTTCATTCTCTTAGGTGGTTCCTGCATGCCCCCGTTGTTGTCCCGCAGGTCGGGACAACTTCCATCAGGATTAATTTCCCCAAGCCACTCCAGCCCCTTCCCTGGAGCCTGGAAGACCCAGAACATCCAGGAGCTACTGAAGGTGAATCCAGAGGCTGCACAGGAGAGTCTCAGAGAGCTCCCCTCCTCCCCCCCCAGGTTGCACGAAGCCTCCACCAGCCTCCACCAGCTGCACCGCACACTGGAAACCTGCAAACACAGACACAGGGGGACTTAGAATCACATGGAAGCACAAACAGGCACAGGCACAGATCTCAGCACTCCCCTCTCCTGAGAATGATCTTGAAGAATGATCACGAGGAAAACACAGTTTGGCACCAAGTTCTTAGTGGAGCCGCTGAGGTCCTGTCTCAGGAACGTGGGTTCTGGGTGTCTCCCCAGCATGTGGGGCTGGGCCCACTTTTATGAGCAGGAGGAGAGCCCCATTTGCATGGCGTCTGGATATAAAGTTGCAGTGAGGACCCTGGGCTGCATGCGGCCCCAGATGGAAAGGACTCTAGGATGCTGGCCACAAGGGGTCCTGTCCTGACCCATCCTCCCTCCCTTTTTCCATTTCCAAGACCCAGTTATCCTGATCCCATTTCTTTGGGATAAAAATTTGTATTGGAATGATTCTTTTATTTTGAGACTAAAAGATTGTCTTTGTTGTTTTCCCCAATCACATCTCACACACATGAATATGGAACCAGGCAATGCATGGGCCCCTGCTGCCTGTCACTGCTGAGCCAATGAGGCAGAGACAGGGTGGATCATATATGAGCCTTTATTCCAATGCTGCGGGCAATATGAGAATGTAGCCGGCCATCCACAGAAATCTGCTCTCCTCCCCCTTCCGCCCCCCCCCCCCCCCCCCCCCCCCAGTATCCAGCTACTTGTATTGGGTAAAAGGACAGAAGCTCACAGGGAAAATGCCCAAAGGCTGTGCCAAAGGGGCCATTGACAGGGAGCAGAGGCCTGGGTATTCCCCTGGCTGGTGGGCTGCTTCCTGCACCAAAGTTGTGCGCCTCTCCCTGATCCCAGGCAGCTCCACATGGGAGGAAGGGCTGTACTTGCAGGTGAGCTCCCAGGTCCCCGTGCGGCTGCCAGCCAGGTGAGAACATGCTTCTTCAATCAGAATGAACAATCATGGTTACCAGAGCAGGATTACTGTGTCTTACTGTTCTAGCTGGTCCCCCACATTCTATCTCTTCCTATCAATACCTCGAATGTGTACAAGTGACGAGGGAGGAGAGGCTGGGCTGGACCCTGTGGCCACAGCCTCTGTCTCAAACCTGCTGTCCCTGTCACAAGCACGCAGCTGCCTGCCCGAAACCACAGATTTCACTCGACTTCCCTGCTGTTTGTGTGCAAAAGTCCTGTGTCCCCAGCCTCTCAATGTAGGAGCATTTCCATCCTTTAAAATGGAGCCCTGGCTGGTGTGGTTCAGTGGCTGGACCATTGAGAGGGTGTGAACTCTTTAAAATTAATCCTATTAAGGAAGTAGGTTTGCAATAACTGTGTGCACTTTTCACTCTAGGTTACAAACTTATCAGGCAACCTAAGAACACACAGGAGGACTTGGAGACACAGGAAAAAAACAATTTATTTCCAGATGTTGCACCAGTACTGTGATTCAGGGGAGACTGTTTCTCTCCAAATCCTGAGCCCCAATATAGAGGATGTTCTCTCTTTATACCCTTTGGTTTCTATGTTTCCCAAATACGGATGGGACTTCAGACCTTTCTCAGGCTTTTCAGAAAACCCCTTCTGATGGGATGGGAGCCATGTGACCACACGTAAAGGCCTGGTCTAGTGGCAGAGCTGATATACCCTCCGAGGTTGTAGATGGTTCATGGTTTTTGGCCTCTGTAAAATGTGAGTATTTAGGTAAACATTGCTTGGAAGACCAGATTAAGGAAGGGGCAGTGAGTAGACTATAGGCTAATAGGAATGTGGATTAGAGATCTAGAGTCTGGCTGCTAGCACCCCACTTCTAAATGTCTTATTTTAATCATCATCCCCACAGGAAGAAATGGATATGATCGTGCATGAGAGGGGGGGAAGGGGGGGAAGGAAGAGGGGGGAAGGATCAGACCTAAATGGGCAGTCAGATATCCCTCTCACAATCCAGGACTGCTGTCTCCTAACTGCTCATCTGCCTACTTGCCTCTAACCACTTCTGCCTGCCAGCCTGATAACCCCTAACCACTCCCCTGACAGCCTGATGGACATCTAACTGCTCTTCTGCCTGCTCCATTATCCTTAACTCCCCTCCTTTGCTGACCTGATCATTCCCAACTGCCCTCTCTTGCTGATTAAGTCACCCCTAACTTTCTTCCCTTGCCAGCCTGGTCCTTCCCCCCCTGACCCCTCCCGCACAACTTCTCTTCCCTGAAGGCTTAGTAATTCCCAGCTGCCCTCACATACTGGCCTTCTCCCCTGAAGGCTTGGTACCCCCTCCCAACTGTTCTCCCTACAGGCCTGGTCCCCCCAACTGTACTCTCCTGTAGGCCTGGGTCCCCCCAAATGTTCTCCCCTGCTGTCCTGGTCCCTCACAACTGCCTTCCCCTGCTGGCCAACTTATGGTGGCTATCTTGTGTCCACAACGGGGAGGCCATCATTGACCACATGGGGAGTTCATCTTGTGTGTTGGAATGATGGTCAGTTTGCATATTACACTTTTATTAGATAGGATACTCTTGCAGTGTCTGAATAATTTGTAACTTCCCTTTTCCCAGACCCCTTGGTGCACAGCCTAATGTGCCTGAGCACCAGCACAGAGACCACAAATTCCTTCACTGTTATCACATTGATGGTTCCTGCACCCACCTAAGCACGTGTCTCTCATTTTACTCTTTATGGAATCCCAGAGGTTTCCCAGCTTTGTTTTCTCCTACCCCTCACCTCTCTAGTCTATCACCAATGGATTTCATGTAACCCACCTATGTTCCTCCTTGCATTGCATTGTATCAATACAGATGTAACCTGGTATTCTCAGGAGCATTAACTCAGTTTGTTGAGGTTCTGCTTCCCACATTTGTCAACAATTTGGCTAAAATAAACTCACAAACTCTCTTTATAGGTTTGGATATTTTTAAAAATATACATTTTATTGATTTTTTACAGAGAGGGAGGGTGGGAGAAGGAGAGAAATTAGAAATATCAGTGAGAGAGAAACATTGGAAGCTGCCTCCTGCACAGCCCCACTGGGGATATGCCCACAACCAAGGTACATGTCCTTGACCAGAATCAAACCTGAACCCTTCAGTCTGCAAGCCAACACTCTATCCACTGAGCCAAACCTTTTAGCGCTTGAATGTTATTGTTTTTTATGTTAACTGTACTAAGAAGGGGTTTCTTCCTCCCATTTCCTTCCTGTCCTGTTTAATTAACATAAGATTCTTTTATTTATTTAATTTGTTGGTTTTTTTTAAATAGGAATTTGGAATCAGTCTCCTGTGAGACACCCTTCAGTCACTGAATTGTGCCAGATTCACTACAAGGCCTCCATTTTTATTCCCAAACACAGTCTCTAAACCTAGACATAGACAAGGGCTTTCTGTGAGCTCTGTGTCTGAGCCTGGGAGCAAAGTTAATTTAAGGCAGAACAACTCTCCCTCAGCTCAGCGCCCCCTAGTGTCCTGGATGACCTCTGCAGCACAGCCCTGCAGCCTCCCTCAGGGAGGTTTGTGTCTGGACTCACACTGACTTCCCCTCACGGTGCCGCGGGCCCCTGACACAGTACCACACAGCCGTGTCCTCAGCTCTCAGGTTGTTCAGTTGCAGATACAGCATGTTCTTGGCGTTGTCTCTGGAGATGGTGAATCGGCCCTTCACAGCACTGGCATAGACTGTGCCACGTCCATCAGGATTGATTTCCCCAAGCCACTCTAGCCCCTTCCCTGGAGCCTGGCGGACCCAGTGCATCCAGTAGTTACTGAAGGTGAATCCAGAGGCTGCACAGGAAAGTCTCAGAGACCCCCCAGGCCGAACGAAGCCTCCCCCAGACTCCACCAGCTGCACCTCACACTGGACACCTGCAAACACAGAGACACAGGGGGACTTAGAATCACATGGAAGCACAAACAGGCACAGGCACAGGGCTCAGCGCTCCCCACTCCTGACAATGACCTTGGAAAATGATTAGGAGGAAAATGCAGCTTGGCACCAAGTCCATGGTGGAGCCCCTGGGGTCCTGTCTCAGACACGTGGGTTCTGGGTGTCTCCCCAGCATGTGGGGCTGGGCCCTACTTTATGAGCAGGAGGAGAGCCCCATTTGCATGGAGTCTGCATATAAGGTGCAGCTGGGACCCTGGGCTGCATGCCTGACCTTGTCATCCTAGGGGCGACCCCAGATGGGAAAGGACTCAAGGATGCTGGCCACAAGGGGTCCCATCCTTACCTGCTCCACTCCTCCTTTCATGACACCAGTCAAACTGTCCCCATTTCTTGGGGACAGACAGCTCTCAGGATTGAGATTTCTCCATCCTTGGGGTTTGAAGAGGATCCAGGGTTGCTTCCCCCAGAGGCACATGGATGGATCTTCCTCTCGCTCTCCTTCACCCGCTGTGGGCAATGTTGCCTTTCTGAGTTTGGGAATAGGAACTTGCATTGGAATGATGCTTTTATTTTGAGACAGAAATATTATCTTTTTGTTGTTTTCCCCAATCACATCTCACACACATGAATATGGAACCGGGCAATGCATGGGCCTCTGCTGCCTGTCACTGCTGAGCCAATGAGGCAGAGACATGGTGGATCATACATGAGCCTTTATTCCACTGCTGTGGGCAATAGCGGAGCACAGCTGGCCATCCACAGAAACCTGCTCAGCCCCCCATAACCAGCTGCTTGTATTGGGTAAAAGGACAGAAGCTCACACAGGAAGTGGCCAAAGACTGTGCCATAGGGGCTGTTGACAGGGAGCAGAGGCCTGGGTATTCCCCTGGCTGGCAGGCTGCTTCCTGCACCAAAGTTGTGAGTCTCTCCCTGATCCCCGGCAGCTCCACATGGGAGGAAGGGCTGCACTTGCAGGTGAGCTCCCAGGTTCCCGTGCGGCTGCCAGCCAGATGAGAACGTGCTTCTTCAATCAGAATGAACAATCATGGTTACCAGAGCAGGATTATTGTGTCGTACAGTTCTAACTGGTCCCTCACATTCTATCTCTCCCCTATCAATACCTGGAATGTGTGCAAGTGACAAGAGAGGAAAGTCTGGGCTGAACCCTGTGGCATAGCCTCCTTCTCAAACCTGCTGTCCCTGTCACAAGCCCTCAGCTGCCTGCCCGAAAACACAGATTTCACTCGACTTCCTTACTGTTTGTGTGCAAAAGGCCTGTGTTCCCAGCCTCTGAATGTGGAAGAGATTCCAATCTTTAAAATGGAGCCCTGGCTGGTGTTGCTCACTGGTTGGACGATTGGCCTGCACACCACAGGGTGTGAATTGTTTAGAACTAATCTCATTCAGGAAGCAGGTTTGTGATAACTGTGTGCACTTTTCGCTCCATGTTACAAACTTACCAGGCAACCTAAGAACACACAGGAGAACTTGGAGACACAGGAAAAACCCATTTATTTCCAGATATTTCACATGCACCAGTACTGTGATTCAGGGGAGACTGTTTCTCTCCAAATCCTGAGCCCCAATATGGAGGAAGCCCTCCCTTTATGGTCTTTGGTTTCTTAGTCCCCCAAATATGGATGGGACTTCGGACTTTTCTCGGGCTTTGCAGAAAACCCCTTCTGATGGGATGGAAGCCATGAGACCACACCTTAAGGCCTGCTCTAGTGCCAGAGCTGATAGCCTCTCCGGGGCTGTGTATGGTTCATGCTTTATGGCCTCTGTAAAATGGGAGTATTTAGGTAAACATTTCTTGGAAGAACAGATTAAGGAAAAGGCAGTGAGTAGACTATAGGCTAACAGGAATGTGCATTAGGGATCCAGAGTCTGGCTGCTAGAACCCCACCTCCAAATGTCTTATTTTCATCATCTCCCCACAGGAAGAAATGTGTATGAATGTGCTTGGGAGGGGGGAGAAAAGAGAGGGAGGATGGATCGGGCCTAAAAGGTTAGTCACACATGCCTGTCACAATCCAGGACTGCTGATTCCCAACTGCTCACCTGCCTACTTGCCCCTAACCGCTTCTGCCTGCTAACCTGATCACCCCCTAACCACTTCCCTGCCAGCTTGATGGGCACTTAACTGCTCTTCTGCCTGCCCTATTTCCTTAACTGCCCTCCTCTGCTGACCTGGTCATTCCCAATTGCCCTGCCCTACTGGCCCTGTTCCCCATCATCCCTCCCCTCTAGGCAACATCCCGCCAACTGCCCTCTTCGGCACACCTGCGTACCCTCCAACTTCCCTCCCTTGCAGGCCTGGTCCCCCCCTCCAATTGTCCTCTCCTGCAGGTGTGCCCATGCAACTGCCCTCTCCTGCTGGTGCACCCATGCAACTGTCATTTCCTGCTGGTGTACCCACACTACTGTCCTCTACTGCAGACCTGGTCACTCACAACTGCCTTCCCCTGCTGGCCAACTTGTGGTGGCCATCTTGTGTCCACATGGGGTGGCCATCATTGACCACATGTGGGCGGACATCTTGTGTGTTGGAGTGATGGTCAGTTTGCATATTACACTTCTATTAGATAGGATACTCTTGCAGTGTCTGGATAATTTGTAACTTCCCTTTTCCCAGATCCCTTGGTGCACAGCCTAATGTGCCAGGGCGCCTGGACAGAGACCACAAATTCCTTCACTGTTATCACATTGATGGTTTCTGCACCCACCTAAGCACATGTCTCTCATTTTACTCTTTATGGAATCCCAGACGTTTCCCAGTTTTGCTTTCTCCTACCCCTCACCTCTCTAGTCTATCACCAATGGATTTCATGTAACCCACCTACTCAGATGTAACCTGCCATTCTGAGGAGTATTAGCTGTTTGTTGAGGTTCTGCTTCCCACTTATGTCTACAAATTGGCTGAAATAAACTCACAAACTCTCTTTACAGGTTTGGATGCTTTGAAAAAAACATATTTTATTGATTTTTTACAGAGAGAGAGGGTGAGGGATAGAAAATTAGAAACATCAGTGAGAGAGAAATATCTGTCAGCTATCTCCCACACAGCCCCCACTGGGGATGTGACCACAACCAACGTACATGCCCTTGACTGGAATTGAATCTGAACCCTTTAGTCTGCAGGCCAACACTATCCACTAAGCCAAACCTTTTAGGGCTTAAATGTTATTGTTTTTTAAGTTAACAGTACTTAGACAGGGTTTCCCCCTACCATATCCTTCCTGTCTTGTTTTATTAAGGTAAGTTTCCTTTATTTATTTAATTTGTTTTGTTAATCCTCAACCAGATAGAAATTTGTGATCAGGGTCTACCATGAGACACCCTTCAGTCACAGACACTGAATTGTGTGAGATTCATGACAGAATCTCCTTTTTATTCTCAAACACTAACCCTAAACTCAGATGTAGACAAGGGCTTTCTGTGAGCTCTGTGACTGAGCCTGGTAGCAAAGTTAATTTAAGGCAGAGAATGAAATGGTATCTTTGCTCAACTCTCCACCATCTCCAGGCCTTTCAGCTGTGCTGGTGCCCATCGCCCCCTGGTGTACTGCATGCTCCCTGCAGCCCAGCCCTGCTGCCTCCCTCAGCGAGGTTTGTATCTGGACTCACACTGACTTCCCCTCACTGTGTGTCTGGTACAGTACTACAGGACAGTGTCCTCATCTTTCAGGATGTTCATTTGCAGACACAGCGTGTTCTTGGCGTTGTCTCTGGAGATGGTAAGCAGCCCTTCACAGCACGGGCATATTTCGTGGTACTTCCATCAGGATAGATTTCCCCAAGCCATTCCAGTCCCTTCTCTGGAGCCTAGAGCTAGAACACCCAGAACATCCAGGAGCTACTGAAGGTGAATCCAGAGGCTGCACAGGAGAGTCTCAGAGACCCCACAGGCCGCACCAAGCCTCCCTCAGACTCCACCAGCTGCACCTCACACTGGACAACTGCAAACACAGAGACACAAGGTGGACTTAGATTCACATGGAAGGACAAACAGGCACAGGCAAAGGTCTCAGCGCTCCCCTCTCCTGAGAATGACCTTGGAAAATGATCAGGAGGAAAACACAGCTTGGCACCAAGTCCATGGTGGAGCCGCTGGGGTCCTCTTTAGGCATTTGGATTCTGGGTGTCTCCCCAGCATGTGGGACTGGGCCCTCTTTTATGAGCATGAGGAGCGCCCCATTTGCATGGAGTCTGGATATAAGGGTGCAGCAGTGACCCTGGTATGCATGCCTGATTTTGTCATCCTAGGCGACCCCTAGGGAAAACACTCAAGGATGCTGGCAACAACTAGTGCCTTCCTGACTCACCCTCCTCCCTCCTTTCCAGAGACTAGGTCACTCTGACAATATTCCCTTGGGGGCAGTTTTTCTTATTCTACAAAATATAACTTTATTTTTTTAGCTTGAATAATAGAAAAGATAAACTTAACTGTCAGACATTGCAAACTAGCCATCTATAGGGGCTGATACACTGATACTGATATTAGGTCACATATTCTGTCAAGTGTTTGTTCATCCAAGTTTACAGATGACTATGTAGATAAGATATGTACTAAAAGTTATAAGCTGTCTTACAGAAAGAACTAGAAGGATATGAAAAAAGGAAATACTCCCTCCTGTGTTAGTTCAAAATCTGACAGAGGTAATCTGCTCAGAACCTTTGCAATAAAGATGACTCCTAACTAATTGGCTCATTAGGCATCAGATAAATGGCTTCACAGATAAGAAAAAGCTAAAGGAGTTCATCACTGCCAATCTAGTATTATATGAAATGTTGAAAGGTATTCTTTAAGAAGAGGAAGAAGCTGAGACCTGTTTGGCTCAGTGGATAGAGCATCGGCCTGAGAACTGAAAGCTCCTAGGTTCCATTCCCATCAAGGGCATGTATTTTGATTGCTGGCACTTCCACAGTAGGGGGTGTGCAAGAGGCAGCTGATGGATGATTCTCTCTCATTGATGTTT